GCCGCCGCGACGAGACGAGGGCTTTGAGGCGGCGAGGGCCGTGGCCGGTACGAGCGTGGCGCGAGGGGCGGGAGGAGGGAGGCACCGAGCCGCCGTGGCACGAGCCGGCGTTGCCGCAGTTGAGCATGTGCTGGACCGAGAGCTGGATGTCGGTGCCCTGCGCCTTGCGCGCAATCTTGATGCGGTCGGCGAGCGCCGAGAGCGAGCCGTGCGCCCAGCACGAGCCACCTACGGAGGGCGTCGGCTGTGAGAGAGGCGGTGCGGTGGAAAGGGAAGGAGCGGTGGAAAGGGAAGGAGCGCAGTAATGGGAAGAGGAAGGGCGGGGCGTGCGCACAATATTGGGGGATGTGCTGGTTGAGCGACGGCGTGCAGTAGTTGACGCCGTCCTTGTCGCACCACGTAAAGTCGTCCGGGTACGATGTGAGTTCTGCGAGCGAGTCGTGAGACGTCTCCGACGACGAGTTGCCCTTCCAGACGATGCCGAGCGCCTCGACCTCGGCGCGCGGCAGCAGTTCGGAGTGGCGCGTGGGCGCGATGCTCTTGACGCCAACGCCGGCAGCGAGCGAGGAGAGAGAGTAGGCGAGCATCTGGAGCAGTCCAAGTCCAAAGGTTTGCGACTGATCGACTTTGGTCGCGCGACTTCTTTTTCTCCGCCGGGCGTGTTCTTCTTTCTTGCCGGCCGGCGAGATTGCTAGAGGTGGAGCAAGCCTGCTCTAGCCTCGCGTGTTACCTCCTGTCGTCTGTTGTGTTGTTGTGCCCTTGTTTGCTCCTTTGGCACCTTGGAGTGCTGGGGGGGGCGAGGATGTGGGCATGTATGTGGCCCTGAGTTATGAGTACGTCTATCTACTCAGGGTGTGTGGCAGCTAGCTGGCTGTGTGTCTTGTGAGCCTGTTTGTGTCTGTGTGTCGCTCTCGTGCGTGCCGTCATCATCTGTCCAGCGTCCACCCATACCGCGTTGGTGTCCAGTCCGAGCCTGGCTGTTATTCACCTTCCTAATTACATTCTTTCTTTCTTCTTCAGCTACCTACCTACCTTCAACTATCTCCATGAGAAGAAGAGATCCCGTCATGAATGGTGCAGGAAGGGTAAGTATAGGGGCCCGTGCGCGCAAGGAAGGGAAACAGGCATCGTCGTAGAATCTCTTCAAAGTTAATAAAAATCTCTCTCTCAAAGCGAGGGCCGGCATGTAAGAACACAAAACACTCTCTCTGTAAGAAAGAAACCAGAAAAAAGAAAGAAAAGAGACAACCAAGGGAGGGATGGAGGACGGCACGCCGCCACCACACAGGGATTTTAAGGAGAGGAGTGTGGTGCTAGCCGTCGCCCACCCTCGGGCGTCTACCACTTCCTATCTCTCTTCGCAGTTTCTCACCAATTCTCGCAGCGACCTTCATGCCACCTCTCGGCTCTCGTTCTTCTCACTCTCGTCCTCGTTCTCTCCCCTGAGGGAGGGTGTAGAGGATGTAGAGTGTGGAGCGCTGTAGAGCTGTAGAGATGTAGAGCGCTCTGGAGCGCTGTAGAGCTGTAGAGCTCTACATCCGCCGCGTGACGATGCGCCTCCGTTGTAGAGCGATGTAGAGCGCGATTTTGCTGTAGAGTTTGTTGTAGAGGCTCTACAGCAAAACCGCCGGGAAGGCAGTGACTCAAAGAGGTCGAGTCGCACTAATGGGGTGTCTCCGAGCTTGCTGGAGCTCTAATGCCTCTAATGGTAGAGCTGTCAAACGTTAAGAGCTGAACAGTGTTGCTAGTGTTAACAGTAACAACAGAACAACAGTGGGGCTCCCCAACAACAGTAGCTAACGTTAGGCCAGCTGAACAACAATAAGGAAGGCCTGGCAGTGACCCACGACGATCTCCAGCGTCCAGTGCGGGTAATACCCGAAAATACCTGGAAAACCCCAGGTATTTTCGGGTTTTACCCGGGTTTTTTGGCATTTTCTGCTTGCTGACCGCTGAACAACAGTAACAACAGTAACAAACAGTAACAGCTTGGGCTGGGGAGAACACTTGAACAACGTTGAGGATTTTCAGCCAACAATAGTGCAACTGTTAGGCCCAAAGTTAACGTTTGACAGCTCTATCTAATGGACGGCCCTGACTATCCCTGACACACAGAGAGTCACTCCGACGGCACACAACACCCTATAACTGCGTCATGACCAGCCTGCCATGCGTCGCCGGTGCCGCATTCGTCGCTGTGCTTCTTTAGCAGGCGGTGGACTGTCGGCTGCGAGGACGGTGGGTCGCATTTGCGCGAGGCGAGGCGAGGCGAGCATTGCTGCGCGTTGCATGCGCCATGACTCGCGCCAGCGCGTGCGGGAGCTCCTGGCTGAGCGTTGAGTCCAGGCGAGTTGCGCTGGCCACGATCGCTACGCCAAGCTGAGCTAACGCGCCGAGGCGCCGGCCAGTCGCAGCCGTGAGGCATGCCATAGCAGCAGAGGCACCTCCTACCCATTGGGCGGGCAGACAGAAGGCCAGGGCAGCACTGGCAAGTGCAACGCGCCTCATGTCGGAGAGCGACCGTGCCTCGTTCGCCGCTTATGATGTAGAGTTTGTGATCTGTGATCTGTGATCTGTGAGGGTCCGCCCGCAGAGTTTGTTGTAGAGATTTCACGTTGTAGAGCGCCTCTACATCGCTCTACAACGGAGGCGCATCGTCACGCGCCGGATGTAGAGCTCTACAGCTCTACAGCGCTCCAGAGCGCTCTACATCTCTACAGCTCTACAGCGCTCTACACTCTATCTACATCCTCTACACCCTCCCTCATTCTCTAACAAACACAATCCTCATTCCCTCCCCTGCTGTTTCATCCTCTGATGACTCATCGCTCTCCTCGGCCTCGTTCTGAGACGCCGCTGCCGTCTGCCTTGCTCTCGCTGCTTCTCTCGCCGCTCTGCGTAACTCCGCCCTCCTCGCGGCATAATTTGGCCCCTCGTGCCTCGAGTTTATCGAGCTCCCCTCGCGCAAGGACCACATTTCTGACTCCCACTCCGATCATTTGCCTCCAAGTCATGTCGTTGCTCAGGTCCACTCTCTCTTCGAACACTTGTACCTCAACGGTCGGAAACCAGAGGAAGCCACAAATGTAGCTCTTGCAAATTTCTTCTTTCCGCTGCCTCGCGGTTGTAGTGCACAGATCGCCGCGACGCCTTGCCTCATGGTCGCCAGCCACCTCTCCGTCCCGACGCTCGAGGCGCACCTGCGCGCCTACATCGAGGCGTCCGACCTGCCCAACGCGCTCGCGTGCTACGAGAACCTGCTGCGCCGCCGACGCACGCCGCAGCAGGCGACCTGCACCGCGCTCCTCGCGCTGTGCGCCGCCAGCTCGCCACGCGACGCGCTCTACGTGGCCGAGACGATGGCCGAGGAGCGCGGCCTCGACCTCGACGAGTACACAAAGATCTGCCGCACGTTTGTGCAGCGGTGCTCGGACGGCGAGCGGCTGGCGCGCTTCCAGGAGGTTGCGCTGGACATGCTCACCTTCTCGGACGACGCGATGCACAACTACTTTTACCACCTCGCCCAGCTGCTCGGCATCGAGCTGCAGGAGGCGCTGCACGCCCGCGGAGGCGCCTCCGAGGTGCAGACGACCCGAGAGCCGTGGCGTGAGCGCGGCGCCACCGGGCTCACCCGCTCCTCTTCGCGTCATCAGGCGGCGGAGATCTCGCTCATCACGCACAAGCGGCAGCTGGACGCGGCGGCGCTCCTCTGCAAGCGCGGTACCATGGTCACCCCGCTGATGGGCCCGCTCCTCGCAAGCATGGGCGGGCGAGAGGGCGCGCCGGGACAGAGGGAGGCTGGCCCGGACCCGTCCACGACACGTCCACGACGATTCCACGCCGCGCCCCGCAGGCGCGCAGGACAAGGCGGAGCTGGTGCGGATGGCGACGACGCCAACGGGCCTCGCGGCGGAGGACGCCCTCGTCAACGCGCGCGCCCTCCTCTCGCAAGCAACCCTCAACGACTCGCAGCGCGCCGCCGTCGACGCGGCGCTCACGCGGCGGCTCACGCTGGTGCAGGGCCCGCCGGGGACAGGCAAGACGACGGTCGCGGTGCAGATCCTCACGCTGTGGGTGCGCGCGCTCGGCGTCAAGCCCGTCCTCGCCACCGCCGACTCGAACGTCGCGGTGGGCAGACAGCAGACCGACTAGCAGACAGCAGACCGACTAGCAGACAACAGACCGACTAGCAGACAGCAGACCGACTAGCAGACAGCAGACCGACTAGCAGACAGCAGATCACCCCCCCTCTCTACGCGTGTTCGCAGGTGGACAACATCCTCGCCTCCCTCGCCAAGGACGAAATCGAAATCTTGCGCCGGGGGGCGACCCCAAACCCGTTGCAAAAACCCGGTCCAAAAACCCGGCCCAAAAACCCCCCCCACTGTTAACCCCCGGGGGGGGGTTTGGTTTTCCCCCCGGGCCCCCCCCCTTTGGGGGGGGG